TATTATGCTTGAATAATCAGTTTACATTTTAAAAAAGCAACTGTTTGTTATTTATAATGATGGTTCTATTAAAATAACTTTGAGTAGATCAAAATTTATCATGCAGTTTTTAACACTAGGGCTTGAAATATCTGTTGCATTTTTTATTAAAAGTATTAGAGGGATATAATTGCAGGAATGTGATAATATTACAGGAAGTTTGGACAATTTAAAACTTACCCATAATTCCATCTAACTTTATGATCATTTGTACATATATCCTCTAAATAATTTCCTACACGTATGTTGATTATTCCTATACCAGAAACAAATATATCACTGTCACTAGGCGGTAGTGGGAACTCTGAAATGGGGACCCTTTCTGATCATGCTGTGCATACCCATAGTGCAGCACAGGACCAGGTATAGACAGTTGCTTGAAAATGATTGCCAAAAGAATGAATTAATAGGTGGATTTGCAGAGGATCTAAAACTCAAGTCCAACAAACACTGATTGGTTATTTTGTTGGTTCACATGGAGAGGCCAAAGTCCCAACACCTGGCAAACATCAGCCATTCTCTGACATCCTCTTCTGCCCAAACCTTTAGAAACAGCACAGGGGGAAATGGGACAGGCCACTGGTAGCATGGTTACTCTTCTGCCTTGCTTGAAAACAATAGCACTAATTGCTTTTACTTCTCCACTTGTCTGCTGAGTACCTAGGCCTACACTGGCCTAGTCTGCCTCTGAGGCAGACTGAATGCTAATAAGGTGGTTACTGATCCTAAAATAAAATTGTGAATCAGGTTTGTAGTTTGATGTAAAAACTTGAGAGACACAGGTTCGTTGCTAATTGAGATTACAAATGTCATCAAAAATAGAACCCAAAAAAGAGTTAGGTAATTTCTAAATTAAACACCATTTCTTGGAATAATTACCATGTTAAACCATCTGTGTACTTTGGTAGAATTTGACTAAAACTTTAATGCTCAGAATAATGTTCTTTTCTTACCACCAAATAATACTTAAGGACATGCTCTTGTGCTCCCCAGTTGCAGGAAGGGTGTTGCCCTGAATGCTGGTGCACCCTCTGCACTGAGGCTTGGTTTTGCTGGAACTTTTCAGGTATTAAAAAAGTCCATTTCTCTGTTCTCCATCCATTCACAGGCAAAAGACCTGAGCTTTGTTATTTTTTTCTCAATCTGAATGGACTGAGTCAGGCTCATGTAGTCACTATTCAGGACAGACCATGGTAGCATGGAATTATTTGAATCTTATTTTCCATAGGAAATTGCCTATGAAAAGGGTAGGCCCATCAATCATAACTTGAAAGGCAAGTTACAAATCCTTTGATGGAGCCTTTACAAGCTATCATTGTAGCAAGTAGAACTGGGACTACTTTCCAGTTCAGCAAATACATCTGGCCATTTTGGACATTTCCATTTTGATAGTCTAGTCAGTAGAAGAATGTTCCTGGGCTTAAACAACAGCTTTTCAGCATTTCATGTTTCTGAGTCTGCATTTAAGAAATGCTAACCTGTCTCCTTTTATATCACAACAGCTACAGAGTTCCAGAGTTTTGTCTAAAATGATATGAGCTGGTTGTCATAGTCTGGGAGATAGTTCTTCCCTAGGACACAGCATTGTCTTTATTCAAAGGCCATACATACATGGCATAGCAAACAATGACTATGTTTCATATGTTTTCCTGTTACTCTAATGTATTTAAATTTAAATTATGGGTGTATGAGACCTGAGTTGTATTATTAAACTCCCCTTTATGTTCCTTAATGGTGACTATTTTCTTTCTGAGTTGAAAAGAAACCCTTTTAGCTTAAAAGCCTTGTGTATTCTAAAAATGAATGATTACTATGCAGAGACTGTGATCACTATGCTATTTGTCCCCTAACATGTATTCTCCTTTCTTGTGTAGCAATAGAACCCCCAATTTTTAAGTGGGGCATTTAGCTGTCCAGAATAAAAAAGGCTATTTCCCAGTTTCCTTTGCAAAAACTAGGTGAAAGTTCATATAGCAACTTCTGGAGCTTGCCTTCAGTGACAGCTGGGTGCCCCTCCTGTCCGTCTTGGTCCCTTCCTCCATCCTGCTGCTACAACTCTGGAAACATTAGCAGGAGCTCTATTGCCAAGGAACATAAAGGGGAGTTTAATAATACAACTCAGGTCTCATACGCCCATAATGTACCAGGAAGATTAGAGCAACAGAGCAGATGAGCGGGCAGCAATGTCCTACCGATTTTCCTACCTTTGCAGCTTAATGTGAAAGAAAGATAAACTCTCTTGTTTATGTGACTGCTCTTTTGGGTCTGTGTTTCTCAAAATGAAAAGTAATTCTAATGTACACAATCACCTCTGATGGAAAATATTGAACTTTAATCTGCCATGAAGAAGTAACACATTGTAGCAAACCTCTGTTGGCTCCTCTCTCTGCCCAACACCCTTCCCAGAATTGACCCTCTCTCTCCAACTGTCTACTTGGTTATGGTGAGAGCTTCCAAACCCTAGAGCACGACCTCACCTTTGACTGAAGGATGATCCCCCACCCCAGGTGAGCCCATCAAAATCTTTCCCCTTGACCTTGAAAATGAGATAGAGAAAAAAAGAGACTAGTCTTTTTGAGTTGTAAGACTATAATAGAAAGTATCTGAGCTATTTGCAGCTTTGTTTTCCACAGTATGTTGGGAGAATCAGAATAAAACAGGCTGCAACAAGAAAGAAAGAACAATGAATCAGAGTCAAAGAGAAAAGCAGAGATTTAGAGATGGAGGGGAGAGAATATTCCTAGGCTCCTCATAATGCTGCGGTGCCTGGTCGTCTCAGCACTGTTGCTTACTTAATACCCCGGCTCCACTTTCTCCCCTCTGAGCTGTGCTGATGTTCCGGATCCCCCTGTCCTTAGGGGGGGGTCTGCACATTGGTCTAAGCAATATGTGAATGGCAATCCCCTGGCAACTGTATTGATCCAGTGATGGGCACACATCCTAAATTGGCCCAATTGGATTGAAAATGTAAATTCCAGAGGGGCAATGTTACTCTCTCTCTCCTGCTGGGCATGAATAAGGAAGCACAAGTCCTGTTGCTGTTATTAGCTCTCTTGCCTCCATGAGGCAGACAGTCCTGGGATGAGGGCAATACTAAAGATGGTAGCAAAGCCCAACCTTTGAAGGCACTTTTGAGCCCACCCTGAAACTGTATCAAATATATCACATAATAAAAAACCTATTATAGAAGTCAGGGTTCACCAAACTTTTTCTTAAAGGGCTATATATAGTAAATATTGTAAGATTGGCAGGCTGTCAGGTCTTTGTCACAACTAATCCATTCTGCAGTTGTAGCTCTAAAGCAGCCCTAGGAAAAACATACGTGAATGGCCGTGAATGTGCTCCAGTAAACAGGTGGCCAGCCTACAGCCTGTTGTTGTCCAGCCCCTGTTGTAAGCCAGTTTGAGTCAGCGTTTTCTGTTACTTGCTGCCAAAACGACCATATATGATACGCAGGCTCTAATCCATTTTTGAAGCCAGCTGCTTCTTGCCCTTGGAGTCGATGAGGAACTCTAGTGTCCTGAGCTGATGGCCAAAATATTTAACAAAGTGAACATCACAAATACAAAGTATATCCCACATTACGAACCGTAAACATGTAGGATGGCAACACCCAAGGTATTGGGGTGAACTGGCTGAATATCTCCCTGCCATTATCCCCCTATCGCGTTCTCTTTGCTACTTTAACCAGCCAGAGTGTATTTCTCTTATTTGTAAACAAAAGCATCCTCACTATTCTTCTTAGACTTTTGTTTTGGGCGCTCCATTAATCATGTTACTCATTTTGTGATGAGTTAAGATGCTGATCCGTTTTATGTTATACTTTTTGGTTCTCCATTTCTTACATTCAGTATTTCAGTGCCAAGACTGGGTAGATGAAAACTTTCCCTGATAATGAGCTCTTTTTTGAATTCCTGCAGGCCTATGATGAATAACACACAACCTAGCACTTAACACATAAGGAGTGACTATAAAGTATCAGAAAGATTTTAGCACACATGTCACTTCTCAGACATTGAAAGTATTTCATTAAATGCAGTTGCAACTGGAAACTATATTCCAATAATGCTGCCATTTCTCAAAGCATCTTTGGAATTCCTCCAGTCTCCTCACTTTATTTTGATATTTGATGTTGATGAAGATCTACCACCTTGTCACCAGGCTTGGCTCTGAATGGATTCTTGCCTTTAGGGAAAAAAATCATTGAGTTTTTTCCTTTTCTCCTTCCTTTCTCACATAATTATTAGTCACTAAGGTATTCCTAATATGACCCTACCACTCTTCCAGGTGCTGTTGAAATAAAGTTCCCATTATCATTTTGTTTATAGTATAACAGGAGAGAAAATAAGTAAATAAGTTATAATGTAACTCAAATTTGTTTGGGCTTCACCAGTCCATGATTACTGTTAACCTTAAAAATAAAAGTTATTTTACCAGCAAAAATGGGTTTACTCTGGAATAGCACGCCTGGGTAAAGTCATAGGCAAGTCCAGGAAACAAACAAAAGGACATCTTTTATAGAACAAGGGCAGAGTTAGGCTAGTTCTAAGCAGAAAGTCCATTGGAGTAAACTGGAAGTTCCACGTATCATGGCTTCTCATTGGCTGAGTCATGACAGTCTCTCATTGGCTGGGCTGCTGAGAGGAGGCAGAAGACAGAGATCTCCCCTCCTCCTCCAAGGTATGAAAGTAGCTAAGCGAGTATGTATGGACTTGCAGGGTGTCTGTCTCTTTAGGGATCAACAATTGCGGTGCAGCGGTGGACTGCAAAGAGTCCCCTGCTGGTCTCCTGACGCCATATTAGTGAAGAGGTTTCCCTTTATTAATTGTCACAGTACAGATATGACCCTCCTAAGACAATTATTTTTTAGGCTTTGCTCCATTTACATTTGTAGAAACTTAGCTGCCTGTCAGGCTTTTCATATGGGCCCCCACATTGACCACTTATTGCTTTTCCATTTCAGCTCTCCCCTCTTGCTGTCTGCTGGCTTCAAGCCTCCAGGATACCAGGAGGTCAGGTATGTAAGTATGTTACGTATGTATGTATGTATGTATGTATTTTACTTTAAAAACTTTTATATATTGGTGGAGGAAAATAACATTACTTGATACACTAGTTTAAAGCTTTTCACGTTTTAAAAAATGTTCTAGAAGACAGTTTAACCGGGGACAAATCTCTGTAGTAGGCAGCCAGACTGGGCCAGTATCTCTAGAACCGTTCAGAGTAGAGAATTCTTACTGTTTTCCAGATTGACCTGCCCCAAAAAGGAAGAGGCTAGTGTAACCCTGTAAGCAAATAGAGAGCTAAAAGACAGGAGGAAAATGGGACAGGAGAGTAGCTGAGACCACATTTTTCTCTCAAACTTGGCCAGTTGCTCCCCCTTTTTTTGGGTAGATTTTAAAAAAGCATAAATTCCTACAGATGATGCCTCCTGGTCATCACACAGCAGCAATAAGCTCCAAGAGGGCAAGAGCTTTGTCCGTTTTCTTCAGTGTTGTATTCTTTGGACCAAACAGTGCCAGACCCCAGCAGCTCAGGACATATGTAAACACTGAATAAATGAATTAATGCCAAAGTATGAAGTCCTTCAGTCCACATTTCACTGCAACCCCATTATCTTCCCTGCAGAAATGGAGAGTATGCTCCTCCCCTCACTGAGTGCTGCATTTTGTTTTCTGGGTTCTGATACATAGGTATCTAGGCCTCTTGTCTTCCAAAGTCCTTGTTATCACAGCCTTTTTTCAAATTCTCTCTCAGCTCCTTTTTCTAAGAACTCTGGCCTTGTCCTTAGTTCATTGCTGAGAAATGGGTGTACTTGAACCCCAATTATGGCCTAGGCTTAAACTTAATTTCTGGACTTAATTACAGTATAGAGTGATAAGAATTACACTAGATGCACATACAGGCACAAAGGAGACAAGAAACTGAAGACAGAGGAAGGGGGCAGATGATACAGAAAAGATGACGGAAAAAACTTTGCCTGCTTCATTTTCTTGCCTTTCACTTGCCCTGAAACTTTTGTTTTTGTAAACCTGATTGTAATCCCCTCTGCCTTGTTTTATAATTTCCTCTTTCCACGTACACAATAGATGCTAGTTAAATATTTGCTGACTGGTTGACGAAGAGAATTAAGACCTTGGTAGAATCCCATTGCTTTTCCCTTAATATTTGCTTTTCCACATTAATTGCTCTGTGGTCACACTAGGCTATGGGATACTGGATAGTGATAACCCAATAAACCCTCATTTGTTCCAGTCAGTAACCACTTAGCAAGCGTTGTGCTAGATGGGCAGCTTAATAAGATTAATAAATTTAATAAGGTGTATGAAGAAGTGTGTATTGTAGCAGTAGAGATAAAGCATGTCAAATATGATAACATAAGGTAGAGTTCAATGGACAAAACTTGCTATGAGAACACAGAAGAAGCAAGAGAACTCTAATTTGTGAGTTTGAGACAGTTCCATAGAGGAAATATGAAGAATATGCAAGATTTTAACCAGTGGAGTTGGGTGGGGGAAGCATGTAGGAAAGTTGAACTCCATGAACAAATATATGGAGGTAAAATTCAATACAAAGGAACATATATCCTAGATGTTTTCCAGTATTTTCACTCATATTTTATCACCTATATGTGTCAGTCTCTTAAAACATAACCAGTAGAATGGTGGCATGGCATGTTTTTTGAGTTTGAGCAGAAGAGAGGGTTTCCTTGTACAATCATGCTGATGGTATTTTAAAAGAAAAATTGGATTACCATGCTGCATGGGAATCAGTCTGTCCAGTTCTGCATGCAAAGCAGATCACTGGTATTGTCTGCCTTATAAATGGTAAAAGAGGAGCTGAAATGGAACATTCTATCATGTTAAAGGAATTTTTGCGTATAATTTGTTTATAACACACTCTTGACTAACGGGTGAGCTCCTTGCTCCCTGGCTCTATGCTCTAAGTGCACATGCATTCCAGAATGATTAGCCTTTCCTCTGTTGCTACTAAGAGCCCTGAAAGCTGTGGAAATCAATGCAGACAATACTTTATCACTGACAGATTAAAATGTTTTATTAATTTCTTCTGGGATGAGGGGGGTGCATACAAATTCCCCCAAAGGAGCTTCATTCTTTTAACAGACAACTAGGCAATCAGTTGTAATTTTAAGTTTTGAAATGCTTTGGCAACTGTTTTTATGAAAAACACAGAAGAAAAATAACAGAAGGCCCTGGATAGTTTCAAAGTCTTGCTGACATGTACAGAAGTGAATGTCACCTGCCGGCCAGTGCTGACTATGAGCCTCGGTCCCCCGAAGCAGATGCTGTGTCCCTTGCCATGCATCTAAGCACTGCTTTCAATTTGCAAACACCAGGAGTCTGGTGAGCTCCTTGTCTTTCTTGTCCTTTCTGAAAACAATCATCTACTTGAAATGCAGTCTGAGGTACTACATCTCCAGAGATCAAGAGGCAGTTGGTACTTGGAGGACGCATGGTTCAAGCAGGCATAATACCAGTGCTTTTCAAACTTGAATGTGTGTAGGAGTCTCTCAGGGACCCCATTAAAATGCAGATTCTGATTCTGGGATGAGGCCTGAGATACTTCAGTTCTAACATGCTTCCAAGTGATAACCTGGAGCAGGACTTTAGACTCATCCGTTTCCAAGGCAGGAAAGACAGGTAATGTGACAAGAGTGGTGTGCTGAGCGCTGAAAGGCAACTTGACAAAAAGAAGCTCTGACCAAATGTCCTAGAAACGTCAGGAACAGAACCCATTGGAGAGTCTGAGCTCTTTGCTGGTAAGTCTTCTTGATGTGTTTCTTTGAGGCATTATTGGGATGGGATACTAAAGGGTGAAAGAAAGTAAATCCTTTCTCTATTCCACACACTTTAATCCCCACTCTGTGCTGGGCACTTAGGCACAGAGGGAACATAGATTATAACAAAAAAATGGACAGAGAAGTAGTAAATTTTGGAAAGGCAGACATTTAAAGCATTCCTCTTACCCCTTTATTTTTGTCAGGAAGTTTTGCTCCAAGAGACCCTGTAAGGAATTCGGCCATTCAGCCTCTCCTAACAGAACATTATCTGTCATTGTTCTTTGTGTTAAAGATACTTCTGGCAATGATGTTACTATTCCTGTGTGCGAGTCTGGCAGAAAGCCCTGAGATGTGACCTAATTTCCAAATAGCTTGTCCTTCTGGTGAGCTGTTAGTAGTAAAACCTGCTAGAGTTTATGGCTCTACCCTATGGACTTTGAGAAAAAGCGGATGGCAAAGGATATTTCCAGCTGGATTAGTTGATGTGATTAGATGGTCTTTTTGAAATAATAGTTTATGCCCATTATGTGAAGATGCGATGCAGAAACCAGACATCATCTATTCCTTCTGTGAGAAGGGGAGAAGGGCTCTTAAAAGCCTGGGAGTGGAAGATCATTAGGTAATCTGTTGTTAGCTCAAGAAGGGCACATCCTGGTATATTTATAGCCATGCTGCCCAGGGGTGGAATGTTTATGTATGGACCGGTCTTATCACCCCTTCTATTCTGAGTGAATCTCGAAAGTTAAATTATAACATTGCATTATGCTTAAAAGGGAAAGACACTTCATAGAATAGGCATTTACTACGCTCTTGAGGGACTGTTGTGCACTGATCAAATGACAGATGGTGTTCAGCTTTCACAATGTAGAAGTACTAAGAGAATGTAGGGCCACAGTGAAGCCATGGAAAATCAGAGTAAAATACGGTGCAAGTCTTATATGAGCCTGGCATCAGAAGAGGAGGTACCAGGAAAATGATCCCAACACCAAGGGAGGAAAGGAAACTGGACCGAAAAATGATAGTTCTTCAGTTTTGAAAAACAGGTCTGCCCTTAATTTAGCTGTGGGATGTTGGGTAGGTCACCAGTGTCTCTGGGTCTTGCTCTGCTAGTACAGTAGGTAAGAGGTTTTAGCTGGTCTTTAAATTCCCTGCCAGCTCTGTAACTCTGAGGGCTCATTATGTGCTAAAAGTACCATGAAATAAACACCTTCATTTGCATTATCATCTAATCTTTGGGGCGGTTTTCTTTGTTTGTTTGTTTGTTTGTTTTTGTCATCCCATGTTACAGAAAGAGAACCTAAGGTTCAGCGAGTTTAAGAAACCAGGCCCCACTCACACAGCTAATAAGAGACAGAGCTGGGATTCAAACCCAGGCAACTTGACACACCACAGCTAATGCTTTTAAGCTTCACTATATATTGCCTTTATGAGAATTTTATGGGTAAAGCAGGAAGGATTATTTTGTTAGTTACTTAGAAATGCAATTGGCAGGGGAATCCCTTACAATATTTGTTACATAACTGGTTTATAATTCTTGACATACTAGAGTTTGATCCTGGTAAAGGAAGATGTTGAAACTGATGTTATAAGTTAATATTCAAGAATTTCAGACATGAGATGAGCTGTTCACACCCTCCTCCTACTTTACTCAGCTCCCTTAGCCTTACTTTTCAGGATTCTGTCCTGCCTAGCTAAGACCGTTTTGTCAGGCTAAACTGAAAAGTAGCCACAGGCATCTAGGACCAGAGGCATCTAGGACTTGTGTTCCTGTCTTCTAATCTTCAGATCTTGGGAGTTGGGAAGCACTAGGCTGCAGACAGCAGCTGCCTCTCACCCTCTTCCCACAGAATTTCCCACACGCACAAGACAGGGCTTCTGGTAGAGTTCCGTGGTTTGCACACTGACTTTCCTCCTGAGACCAGAGTTCTCTACTGAACTTCCTCCTGCCTGGATGGGGCCATGACACCCTCCCAGCCCTTGGAGATAGTGTCTCAAAAGGCAATGGTGGAGTGGCCCCTGAGAATTCCCTTGCATTCTTCCTTAAACTGGTTCACTTCTAAAATTTAAATAACTTACTCTTTTTAAAAAAGAAAACTTCAAGAAGTTTTGTAGTTTTGTTTTATATTTAGGTCTATGATTCATTTTTAGTTAGATTTTTATATGGTGAGAAGTATGGGTTAGGGTATTTTATTTTTGTGTACAGATATTCAGTTATT